GAATGCTGGCTCCGTGCACCAGCAGGGGTACAAGTGGACCCGCTGTTTCCCGGGGGAGCTAGTTTCTGGCCACAAAGAGGACAAGAGACCGAGTTATGGTGTCGTCCCAGGAGGGTGCCCCTCGGGAGGCACCAACTGCTCTAGGCCCAGGGAGCTGTGAGTCCCCTCCCCACCTGGTGTGATGTCCTGAATCTGGGCTGCCCCAGGGTTACCAGCTTTCCTTCCCGGCATGCTGACAAGACACCCACCATGGAGAGGGGCGGGCCGCAGGGCTGCATTCTTGCATGGCTCTGCAGGCTCTCTGAGGACACACACCCCTGATCCTGGTCAAGAGTGGGTGATCACACCAGGGGTGCCCCGTTCATTGCACTCCACCTGCCCTGGGAGCTGATTCGCCTGGGCTCCTGCACTCTGGGGGGGTCCTCCAGGGTGTAAATGAACCGTCAGTGGTCCGGGGCTGGGAGATGGGACGGGCCTGAGCTCCCCACAGCCTCATCACAAAGACCACATGTGCCCGCCCTGGTCTCACAGAACCCGGCCCTACCGGGTCGTGTGGGAGGTCCAGTCTCCCTCCTGCCAAAAGGGATTTCTGGGCTGGGAGAAGACTGTGAGCAGAGACAGACTTAAACGCATTTCAAGTGCTCCCCAGGTGGTCCTTATGCCCCTCCTCATCACAGACATTTCTAGATGCAAAAACACGTGGTGGGGGTGGGGTGGAGGCAGGAGGTGCAGGGCTGGCCTTGGTGCAGCTTGGCAGGCCCCATGGCCCTGCTCTCAAAGGGCTCACACTGGCTTTAATGCTCTGCCACCAGCATCTTACGATTCTCCCTGGGCCAGCTGGTGGCGTGGTGGTTAAGGTGGCTGATTGCACGGGCCAACTGCACAGTTCAAGTCCAACACCCAGCAGTTTAAAAACACGCATACTGGGCATGTGCGTATACGTGCCCAAAATCCCTAGAGGAGGACGGAGGAGACTGTGGCATGGCCATCCCCATGGGGAGAGCTTTTGTAGTTTCCCCAGACTCTG